TCTCTGAGTGGGTGGGGGGGGGGGTCCAGTGTGGATCTCTGATTGGGGGTGGTCCAGTGTGGGTCTCTGAGTGGGGGGGAGGTTCAGTGTGGATCTCTGAGTGGGGGGTGGTCCAGTGTAGATCTCTGAGTGGGGGGGTCCAGTGTGGGTCCCTGAGTGGGGGGTGGTTCAGTGTGGGTCTCTGATTGGGAGTGGTCCAGTGTGGGTCTCTGATTGGGAGTTGTCCAGTGTGGGTCTCTGATTGTGAGTGGTCCAGTGTGGATCTCTGATTTGGGAGTGGTCCTGTGTGGATCTCTGATTGGGAGTGGTCCAGTGTGGGTCTCTGAGTGGGGGGTGGACCAGTGTGGATCTCTGAGTGGGGGGTGGTCCAGTGTGGGTCTCTGAGTGGGGGGGGTTGTCCAGTGTGGATCTCTGAGTGGGGGGTGGTCCAGTGTGGATCTCTGATTGGGGGGGTGGTCCAGTGTGGGTCTCTGATTGGGGTTGGTCCATTGTGGGTCTCTGATTGGGAGTTGTCCAGTGTGGGTCTCTTATTGGGAGTGGTCCAGTGTGGATCTCTGATTGGGAGTGGTCCTGTGTGGATCTCTGATTGGGAGTGGTCCATTGTGGATCTCTGATTGGTAGTGGTCTTGTGTCCATCTCTGATTAGGGGGGTGGTCCTGTGTGGGTCTCTGAGTGGGGGTGGTCCAGTGTGGGTCTCTGAGTGGGGGTGGTCCAGTGTTGGTGTCTGAGTGGGGGGTGGTCCTGTGTGGGTGTCTGAGTGGGGGTGGTCCTGTGTGGGTCTCTGATTGGAGGTGGTCCTGTGTGGGTCTCTGATTGGGGGGAGGGGTGGTCCTGTGTGGGTCTTTGATTGGAGGTGGTCCTGTGTGGGTCTCTGATTGGGGGGTGGTCCTGTGTGGGTCTCTGATTGGGGAGGGGGGGTGGTCCTGTGTGGGTCTCTGAGTGGGGGGGGTGGTCCAGTGTGGATCTCTGATTGGGGGTGGTCCAGTGTGGGTCTCTGAGTGGGGGGTGGTTAAGTGTGGATCTCTGAGTGGGGGTGGTCCAGTGTGGATCTCTGAGGGGGGGGGGGTTCAGTGTGGGTCCCTGAGTGGGGCGTGGTCCAGTGTGGGTCTCTGATTGGGAGTGGTCCAGTGTGGGTCTCTGATTGGGAGTTGTCCAGTGTGGGTCTCTGATTGTGAGTGGTCCAGTGTGGATCTCTGATTGGGAGTGGTCCTGTGTGGATCTCTGATTGGGAGTGGTCCAGTGTGGGTCTCTGAGTGGGGGGTGGTCCAGTGTGGATCTCTGAGTGGGGGGTGGTCCAGTGTGGGTCTCTGAGTGGGAGGTGGTCCAGTGTGGATCTCTGAGTGGGGGTGGTCCAGTGTGGATCTCTGATTGGGGGGGTGGTCCAGTGTGAATCTCTGATTGGGGGGGTGGTTCAGTGTGGATCTCTGAGTGGGGGGTGGTCCTGTGTGGATCTCTGAGTGGGGGTGGTCCAGTGTGGATCTCTGATTGGGAGTGGTCCAGTGTGGGTCTCTGAGTGGGGGGGGGGTGTGGTCCAGTGTGAATCTCTCATTGGGAGTGGTCCAGTGTGGATCTCTGAGTGGGGGGGGGGTGGGTGGTCCAGTGTGGATCTCTGATTGGGAGTGGTCCAGTGTGGATCTCTGAGAGGGGGTGGTCCTGTGTGGGTCTCTGATTGGGGGTGGTCCAGTGTGGGTCTCTGAGTGGGGGGTGGTCCAGTGTGGGTCTCCGATTGGGGGTGGTCCTGGGTGGGTCTCTGATTGGATAACAGGGCAGCAAACATTAAAAAGATCAGGGAGGTGAGTGTCCCAGGTGAGAGTACCCACTGTCTGTAGCTAGTTTAGGGTGGAAGTCCGTATGGTCCATCAATTATCATCATTTTCCACTTTTGCCGTTTAGCACCGTGGGGAGGAACAGTTTTAGATCCATTGCTTGATGAGTAGCAATAGCATTTGTCTTTCTGTGTCGACACAGAAGCTTTTCAATTTCATCAGTCCATCTTCTCCCAGGGCGGCCTCTTGATTTTACTTCAGATCTTTTCATATGTGAATCTGCCTCACTGACCAGATTACACGAACATAACATCAAAAAGGGTTAAGTCAGACAAAAGCGCTACATAGGGACTTAAAGAAGAATTGTAAACCAACACAGAACTGGTTTCAAAAAGCCACTGCACGCTGAGGGAGATACTGAAGAGGAGATCTGAGTACATATGGACCAAATGGTTCTATGTGAGATTATGATATTCTCTCATCTATCGTTCACTATCATTATCATGTGTAAAGCCTCCGTTAATAGTTATTCTGGTTGTATTCTAAGGAGCTGACTATACCATTTTTTTAAATAAGAAAAATAACTGTGTTGTATATTAGGGGCGGAGTTGTTGTAATACCTGGAAACATCATTTAAACCTTTTAGATAGGATACACTGAATCATATTTAACGGCCTGTTTTCCGAAAGTTTTGAAAACCAAAACATTAAGATATTTGAAAGGAAAATTGTGTA